GCAAGACAAGATAGTTTTATCGCTTCTTATTTGTCTTGGGAAAATATTTAATAGTTTTATTTTTCCCGATCCTAGAACCAAAATTAAAGTTATGGGATCGTGAGGGTTTTTTTTTTGTTTTGAATTTTCACACTGAAATATAAGATTTATGACTTAAAAGTGCTCTTAGATTTAGGCAACAGATCTGATTTACCTCTTAACAGGAAGTTAAAAAGCCTTTCAATGTTTTATAGACTTTGTGAGAATCTCCTCTGAACCTTGTCACTGACCCTCTGCTGAGGGAATGAACACAGGGAAACAGACATTGGCTAACAGACAAGTGTATTTATTTTTCTGGATGTACTATGGTGATTATTACTTTCCTCCCTTATTACCTTAAGTTGTTAGTGGTAGTTTTTAAGCTGAAAGTTATTGCATCATTTAAGAAGAAAGTCATAGCATAATTTTTCCTCACAGAAAATGTAACGACCATGAGCTTTGCAGTCAGACAGCCCTGGGTTTGAGTCCGTATATCTACTTGCTGTTTGTCCTTCGTAAGTTATGTTATAACCTCTCTGAGCCTCAGTTTCTGTGTCTGTAAAATGGGCATGACATCTACCTCCTAGAACTGTTGAGAGGATTCCATGTGGTTATGTAAAAGTGCCTAGAAATGTGCCTGGCACCTAGTAGGCACTCAAATTTTAGTTTCCTTCTTTCAATTCCTATTTTAATCATTTCAAAAGATACGTTGTGAGGAAAATCCTGTTCTGAGGGAATTATTATAGAAAAATAATTATTAGTAAAATTTTTCAATATACTGAAATACCTGACCTGGCTACCTTTTAAAATACAGTTTTCAGAATTTACTGTAATCAGGATGATAATGTGATATTGCATTTATTCAGGCAGTGTTTGCTGAGTGATACTGCCTGTGATCCTTGTAGCAGGCCTGCGGGGGTGGGGGTGGGGGTTGTGCAGCACGTGGTCACGTGACCGGGAAGAGGCAGAGCCAGAACACGGACTCTTGCTGTCAGTGTATTTCTGCTGACAGCAAGAGCTGCCCACTGGAGCTTCAGGACAATGCTGACATTGAGGCAACGACACCGAGCAAGCCTCAATATAAAAAGAGACTTTGGGTATATTTCAGTTAATAAATACCCTTGGATTGGGTTCAAGATGGATCTTATCTATACTGAAATGACTCTAGGGAGAAGTGTTATGATTAGATACCTAAGTGGCAGTGTTACCCTCCCCAGCCATGCTTTGTGTTGCGTGTACACACGTGCACACTCACTTGTGCCTTCCAAGTGCTCTATTAAACATTTAAATAAAGGGAAAAATCTTTCCCTAACATACTTCTAAGCCAATTTAGAGGTCATTGAACAGATGTCATATAATACTAATGTTAAATTGCCCTGTGTAATAAGAAAATTACAGTACCTAAGTGAAGATAGTAAAGGGAAACCATCCAATGAATTATTCTAGAATTTCAAAATGAAATGATTTCTTCAAAATTAACAGCGGCACCATATGACTTGAGAAAAGTGAGTCTGATAGGGAGAAGGGAAATCAGAGACAAAAGGGAAGACTTTCTATGTTTGTTTATGCCAATTTTTGCTTACGATGCCAGAAGAGCTAATGTAATAGTATGGCTTTCAATTGTCCAGAAAGTATATTATTATTAAACTATGTGGCAAGGAATTTATTAAAATCTGATTAACTTCTCATTGAGTTGTTGAAAAATCACGATTACTGTTTCTAGTCTACATAGACTTCCTCTTGCTGTTAGGTGCACTTTAAAAGCCTAATTATTTTGAGAACATAGTATGACCAAAGAATAAAAACGTACGAAGTTTGACAACTTTAAATAAGCACTAGCATTTCTTAAAGAACAAACCTCACTTACAGTTAGGAAACAATATTTATATTTAAGGTTGAAAAGCCAGGATGTAGGAAAATTTTGCTAATTTGGAAGATGACCTTTAAGTGCACCAAAACCAAATAATTTGTAGGCTATGACATAGGGCACATTCCTACAAAATTTGTGTGAATACTGCTTTAGTGGTTCTTGAAAGACAGACAAAGAAAGCTGGAATGAAATCTTGGTCCCCCTCCCCAATAGGACGGAGACTAACAAAGGGGGACCGCGGCACCCTTTCAGAGCCCGCCATTAAAGCGAGGTCTCTGTAGCACAGTTAATGAGATGGTTCGTGGTGGAAAACAATCTGTTTTTAAGAATGTTTAGATCAAAAGTAATTTCTAGTCTATGAAATAAAGTCTCTTCAATACCCTTCATTCACCAGGAAAGCTTTTATGTTTGTATTATTTACTTCAATCAGATGTTTTCAATTTTACCTTTTCTCCTTGTACAAATACTTGACATGGTTCGTCAATACTGACCAACAGTTTTATTCTTTCTCTTCTGAAAAGAGAGATTTTAGGGAGAGGGAGACTGAAAAAGAGAGAAACGTCTTTGCCTAAACGATTTGCAAGCATCTGTGCTTTAAGCTACTTTTTATGAACACTCCTTGGTAAATGACTCAAGGTAAAAAAGCAGAAAAACATCCAATGTTAGGAAATTGCAATCCAATACCATGTAATTTAAACCTGCAGTTGCTTCTCTTGTACTAAATGACATACAGATGGGTAGCTTAGTTCTCTTAACTTTGGGAGCACAATTGGTCTTTTTGTATGAATGAACATATATTAACAAAAATATTTTGGACAGAATTCTTTGATTCTGATTGTCCAGATTTTAATTATCCATGCCATTGGAAAGAATAATTTCAACCAAGATATTTCGTCGTGTTAAATGTGCAATTAATGAATTTTTTCTGGACAAAGAGAACAAAGATGCAACCCTTCTGACAAATCAAGAAATAAAAACAAAAGATTACCTTTTAAGAAGTCTCTAGTGAGTTGAGAAGAAACTCACCGATTGCAGTCGACTGATTATTTAAGACAAAGCAGCTCTGCGTTCAAGCTGTGGAGAGGCTTGTTCTGACAGGACAGATGTTTCTCAGGGAAGCATTTCTACGTCCCCCTTGGAAAATATGAAAAGTGTAAGTGGCTGGTATTTGGAGAAAGCCTAGCGTAATATGGGGTCCAGTGGGATGAGAGACCAGCACGCCCTTAGTGATGCGCCAGCTGTTCCTATTGCTCTGTCCAGGGCCAGCGTGCCTTGAGGAGGATCAGGAGAGGCGCTGGGTGACAACGCACAGGCCCACTCCGAAGCGCGCCTTTCTGTTTGGCTCTTGTTTGCTCTTTTCCTGCCCCCATATTCTCTCGTAGAGAATCAACCACTCTCTCTTGGTGGCCCTGATTCTGGAAGCTGATATCCTTCTTCAGTCCCACAAGTCAGGGTAACTGGTTAGTTAATTTTCTCCTGGTTTAATTTGAGGGATCTCACAGACTGTGACATTAGGTGCCTTACGGTAAAAGAAGTGGAAAGCATTTCTACTCCTAAAACATATTTCTTTATATTTCAAAAGAAGTTGAGTTTAATATTCAGGAAACTAAGCAAGCTTTCTTTCAGTAATTTCAAGACATGGTAAGAAATCTTTGCATGTGGGCCATCCGCGAGCCTCCCCCCACCCCATGATGGACGCTCAAGAGGAGCAGTTTCACTGCAGTGAGTAGGGGCTGCCCTGTCCTGGCGTTACATTTCTTTTCAGTCATTTGTGCAAGTGAAATAAAATGCTACATATAAACAGGTGTTGTCTGAACATTTTACTGCTGTCTGTATAGGTTGAACTAAGAGCTGCCATTGTTATTAGAATCATATTAAAATTATTTCACCGTTCAAATACACTTAATCAGTGTAGTCTTCCTAGGTATACTTTGCAAAAAGAAAATGTTCGTCTCTAAATAAAATCACATCCAGCTCTGGTGGTCTAGTGGTTAAGATCTGGCCCTCTCACCAACGTGACCAGGGTTTGTGTCCCTGTCAGGGAACCACACCAGCCATCTGTCGTCTTCCTGTGGTGGCTGCGTGTTGCTGTGATGCTGAAAGCTAGGCCACTGCTGTTCCAGCAGGGTCACCGGAGGTGGACAGGTTTCAGCAGAGTTTCCAGACTAAGTCAGACAAGAAAGAAGGACCTGGCCACCCACTTCCAAAAAAGTTGGCCGTGAAAACCCTGTGAATAGCAGCAGAGCTTTGTCTGATAGAGCACCGGAAGGTGAGAGGATGGCGCAGAAGACAGGGCAGGGTTCTGCTCTGATGTACCTAGGGGCACTAGGAGTCGAATCCACTCGACGGCACTAACAACAATAAAACCACATTCTCTGTTCCTCTTTGTCTTTCCCCCTCCCTAATTTTTCTCACCCTTTCTTTGGAATGCCTTGAATCTGCATCAGTGTAAGTGCCTTCTCCTGGAGTCTATTAAAAAGTTTCTTGCTGCCTGTTTAACGTGCAGGTACAGTCCTTAAAGAAACATTTGTTTTTAAGAACTCTACGGAACCTGGTGAAGTGTCTGACAGAATCAGAGAACAACAATTCCTAGTCGTGGAAAAATACATCTTTAGGGTTCAAAAAAAAAAAAAAAGGATGGTATTTAAATCTCCCAGAATGGAAATCAAATGATGAAGGTTTCAGCTATTTTACAAAGTTACAAAATTATTGAATGGAGAATTATTATTTAACCCGATATGCCCATCATCTTATATATACAGTGTAAATACTTGTAAGTAGAGCTATGCTTTTTGAGTTCGTTTGAAAAAAAGAATTTCAAGGTATTGGGAGTCATGCAGGGCGTGCTACCATCTTGTGAATGTTCGATGAGTGTTTACCATCACATGCTAGCAGCTCTGGCCAGAGCACACTGTCAGTGCTCCAGTGGAATCACCTGAATCTTGAGAAAGATTCTCTTTAGTATAATCAGCCGCAGGTCAGGTAAGTTTGGTGCGTTAGGGACTGGTCTGGTCACTGACAAGTGACGGCAGAGGCTGTGTGGTGGCGGCCAGCCAAAGCAATTATTTAGGATTCAAGCTAAAAAGCCTCCTTCTCCCATATCTCTTTCCAGGGTCATGTAGGGATAAAAAGAGCTGTAAGGTGGTCTTTTCCCAGCAGGAACTGAGGAAGCGGCTCACACCCCTGCAGTACCATGTCACTCAGGAGAAAGGGACGGAAAGGTAAGGTGAGCTCTAAGAAAGTTGTTAAGCAAGAGCAAGTTTTCTTCATCCCCCCTTTGAATCCTCTTCCTTGCCATTTAATTTAAAGAATTCTATACTTATTTGCTAAAGTCTACAATTAGTATCCTTGAAAAGGTTGAAAATGGTATTGTTTAGGTTAAGACTAAGTTTTATTTATTCTTTCTCCCATTTAATGAACACTCTATCTTATGTAAAGTCACAAGGCTTTTATTAAGGGCCTGTTTTTAGTTTACTACAAAATGTGTGGAAGTAATAGCAATTTAGGTACATTTTTTGGGAAGACATCACAGTAAGCAAAACCATGAGGGACATGGCACTGTGCCAGGATGCTGAAATTTTGAAGGTGGCCATTGTAAGTATAGACGTTTTGGCTGCAAAAAGAAGGTAGCATAATTTAGTTCCTTTCTGACCCACTCCAATTTCTTTTTGAAGCACATGTGGAGAAAGTATTTATTGGCTCATTTGTGGTTGGAATGTCAAAAATTTTCAATAACTGCCCTCACATGGCTTTGGTCCTTGGAAGTTCGCCCTAAGTCCTGAAAAAAGAGTTTGTTCACTTCCAAGACTGTTTTTAGTGAATAAAGTGTCTCTCTCAGCTGATTCCAGCTCAAAGGTAACTTGCCAAGGTCCAGCCATTTTGTTGTCTAATTTATACCATGGAGCTTGGCATAAGGCCGTAACTTACCTCTGATCCAAATTTATTAATGATGTAACCACTTGTTTTCATTCATGAACTGAAAGAGCTCTTCACCACGCACGGGGGCCTTGTTAATGGGCAACACTCTCGTCCTGTCACAGTGCACACTGTTTACTGACTGTACTGGATGTTGAATCTCGGACAAAGTCCACCCTCACTGCACAACGAGCTAGCGGTGGACTTGTTCTCGGCCCAGGAGGACTTCTAGCCATCCTGTTGTGTACATGACTAGCAAAATGATTTAATGCACACAAACAACTAGAGATTAGGTCATTCTTAAAAATTCTGTTTATAAAAAAATCGGGCCTCATAAAGAGGGCGAAAGGATAATAAAAGCAAGCTGTGGAGCACACAGACTTGTTGTTGGACTTGCACAGCTGATTTGTGTTAGCTGAGTGCCCTCCTAGCCTTTAAGATTGTTAACTTAGAAAAACATTCCCTTAAAGCTGCAATATTCCTTTTCAAACCAAAAATAAGACTCCTTCCACTTGAAGTCTTGGACCCTTCTGCATTTTCTGGTATACACTCTTGGACATCGTAGAGTAGAGAAATCTTATGTAATAATGTTTTTTTTCTGAGATTCTGAACTACAGGCTTTTTTATTTAAATCAGAAATTTTTTCTCTAAGCATTACATAACTAGATGGCTTGGTTTTTTTTTTTTTTTTTTTTTATTTAACCTGCACTAGTTTGGAGTAGTTCTATGCACATTTTATTATATAGATTTGAAGTATATTAGTAATGTTCAGATTTCCATATGTTTGGTCTGTTCTCATTTTAGGACAAAAAGCCTGTGAAAGATTTATTAGAGAAATATATTTTGCGCAATATGTTCGATAAGAAATAATGCTAACTTTGTTTAATTTTTTTTTATGTTCTGGTTATTGTTTATCAGTGCCTTCGAAGGAGAATATACACATCACAAAGATCCTGGAATCTATAAATGTGTTGTTTGTGGAACTCCATTGTTCAAGTAAGTATGTTAAAAACTTACAGATACGGACAAATCACAGATGGCAAAACACTAGTTATTGCTTGTTCACATTAGAATCTTTTCATTACTGAATTTTCTTATTTCTATTATTTCTATTTGCCACCCCACAAAACAAAAGTAATTATTGACTTTCATGATAAATTACCAGTTTGGTAGACTGGCTGATTTTGCACTATTTGGATCTTTAAAATACCCAACATTAACTTGTTCATTGCAGTAACCATGAGGCTTAGCAGAGCTATGAAGGAGATTTTGGTGAGCATAGAGATGTTTATGTATTTATTGATTTTTCTATCATCCAGTGATGGTGCTAAATTTATTTATTGGACCATAATGAAAGTTCTTCATGTGCATCCTTTGGATTGAATAATATCCACCAAGTTGATTATTTGTACTTCTGCAATAAGGGCAATACCTGTATTGAAGGTAACAGGGGAATAATAACAGATATTTTTACATATGTAAGCAAATTATGTAATATGAGTTTAACAGTTTTTGCATTGATTCAAAATCTTTATTTTAGAGATCCCAGTAGTTTACTATAAAACAGGCGGTACATAGACTTTTTCACCAAAATAGTTAATTCAGACAGTGTATTCTGGAGATTATGGATCTTATTCAAGAAAGGGAAAATTTTTACAAAAAATTTATTTACCTAGGTGGAGAGAATCCTAGAAGTCCTATACTTCCCATGGGGATGCTGATTTTGGGGAATAAAAGACAGAAACCTTAATTGAAAGTAAATGTCATTTATTTAAAACAGAATTACAGATTTCTTAGGGGAAATGATCAAACAAGAATCAGATACATGTAGCATGTAAAACATACTTAATATCTTTCTATAAATGTTTCCCTTTCAAAACACTAGCAATTTACAGATTTTCCAGAAATAACAAGAAACAGTAGTTTCCTTGAAAAATTTTTTTAAAGTTTAAAACTTTTCTTTAACTTTCATAAACGTTATTGCACATTAGTGTTGGTTGAGAATCTGTTCTGAATTGTTATGTATTTATTCTTCATGTTAAAAAACCAGCCCTTCAAATTATCCCCCATTTCCTCTCAGAAAACACACATCCCTATATTTCAACACCTTTAGCTTGTGTCATAATAGATGATATAACACTTAAGATAGTTGCTGAGCCATGTTAAACTTGTTAATATCCCAAATGGTAAAAATCGACCGCATCCCCTTTGCTTTTTGTTTAAGATTCTCCATCTCTTTTGCCATCATATGATTCAGTAAAGTAGTGGATCTAAGGAAAACTTACTATTTTAAATAAGAAACACAACCACTGTAAATGAAGAGTTTAACCCATGTGAGATTTTGAGTCACAAATACTAAAAGCAAGACCCTTATCCAAACATGGGTGCTGGAGGGGTCCGGGAGTTGCACGTGCAGTGTGACGTGGCCTCTCTTTCCTTTAGCATTCTTGTAAGGAAAGCTTTATTTTCCAAGTTTTTAAAGAATATGGTTTAATATTTTTATTCTACTTTTTCTTTTTTAATTGTATGCTTCTCCTTACCTGGGTTCTTGTCAGTTTTGGAGGAAACATATCTCTGCTTTAGCCTTCCTTGTAGAATGCAGTAGCTCCTTCTGGTGCTGCTGCCTCCATCCTGGAGAACTTGTCCCTCGGCTGTCCACAAAGACTTTCCAGGGGCCACAGGACACGGGGACAGTTTTGAGGGAATCAATTTTCTGGTCCTCAACTTCTATACGTGCACTTTTCTGAAGCTGGCGTGTCTGAGAGAGCCTGTGGTTGGCCATTTCTTCCTTTCTGTCTCCTCCATCGTAATCGCCCTTCTCCCACTTCACAGAAGATGTCACTCCTTTCCCCCATCCCAAATCTTACTGTGATTTATTGCCCCAGGGTAAAAATCTCTAAGGCGTCAAGCAAAACGATAGTTAGGAATACGTAACTTCTGTAGGAGAGACCCATGAAAGCAAGGCCAAAAAAAAAATATTGAAAAATATTGAACTGGTAAAAAAAATATTGAACTAGTATTTCATCTTGGCAAGGCTCAGTCTGCCCGCCTGCTGTCTGCTTATCTATCTCTTCATCTGTTGTCTGTCTATCCATTTTCTACCAGTCTACTTGAGACCGTTGTCATGGAAATATGTATCAATGTACTTATTCGAATTAAAAAAATGAAAGTCTTTTTTTTTGGACAGAGATTATGTCTGATTTGGTTGGTAGATATGACAGAGAGGACTGCCTTGGCAAATTAGGTTATATGGTGGACTTCATTCATTAAATGATCTAAATATATAAACTGTAAGATTTTGAGAAAAATATATTTTATATATTTTATATAAATATATTTTAAGCATGTAATCTATATATAGAACACCAGAAAATTTATCTTTTTCAACTATTTAAATTCTTGATAAGAAATTTTAGCTGTTACTTTGAAATATATGAGAAAGTATGTGTCAGTCAGCTCCCAGTCTGGATAAAGAAACCACACAGTAATTGGAACAGGAAAGTTTAATGTAAAGAATTATTACCTATAACAGAGGATTGTGGTAATGAGGGATTGACTAGTAAGAAGTAAATAGAGATTCTGAAGAATACAGAAGTAGCAAATACAAGAAGCAATCATGACCCCTAGGGCTGGGATAGAGGCCAAGGAAAAGCTTCCGCTGCAACCTCCCCTCCTCCCACCCCCCCACCTTCCTCTCCCTGGGGCCAAGATCTGGACCTTGTTGGAGAGGGCATGGCTGTAGCTCACTAAATGGCAGAGAAGTCACTGTGGTGCCATGATGGTGCAACTTTCTGGAAATGTACCCTCTGGGGTGCTGGGGAAAGCTGTTTACGGGGAGGTGTCTCACTGGAGGAACTCCACTGCAAAACGACCTGAGGGGAGTATGGGAGGGCGAGGGGGCTGCTGGCCGCCTGGTGCTGCTGATCCCTGTGCACTGAAGGCAGCACCTAGCACGAGAGAAGCTGCTTGTGCAGCAGGAGCTGGCACTGGAGAAGCAGTGTACACTACCAAGGCTGGATGCTGGAGAAGCTGTCTACGCCAGGAGCCAGGCGCTGGAGAAGCTGTGCACAGTGAAGGAGCCGGGTGCCGGAGAAGCCGTTCATACTGCAGCAGCCTGGCACCCGGGGAAGCCGCCCACGTCGCAAGGGCCTGGAGTAGAGAAGCTGCATGTGCTGCGAAAGCCAGATGCTAGAGAAGCCGCCAGCTCTGCAGGAGCCTGTTGAGCAAGCGTACTGAAATCAGGAAGGAAAACCCTTTTCTCCTGCGGTCTTTCTCCTGTGCCCTCTACTGACAACGCTTAATATCATGTTAGCTGACAAAGAAAAAACTATTTCAAGGTCCCAGCACCATTTTAGCAGAGCTGGCAAGGAAGATGGATTTAGAGGTGAGAGGCAATAAATTCATAACTGGCACAGAGTCTATATTTTTTTTTCAAATTCTTTTAGGGGTTCATGAGCAGAAGTTTGAAAACCACTCACTAGTTTAGTGAATTAATGGCATCACCCTAGATGCCCTCTTGAGATAGCTGGTTTCGTGCTCTGAACACGAAGTGTAGGAAACAGTTGAGGGGTGTTTGTGTGTGTGCGTGTGTGTGCACGTGAGCGAGAAAGTGTGTGGTGTCTTTGTTTGTTGGAGAACAGGGAGTGAGGGAAGAAAATTAGGCAGAAAAGACTACATAGAGGAACAACATGAGAAATAACAGTGGGAGAGAAACAGATAAGAAATCAAAAGAAAGAAATGCTCAAATGGAAAATGCCGAATGATTAGCAGTATGAAAAGGTTGTTTTGCCAACTACCATTTCTGTTATCTTATTCACGCTCATAGTGTGTGTGTGCACGCATGCACAAATGTGTATAATCGTCTTCATTTACTTGACTGTTATATATAATACTTCCTTACAAAAAAGGCCATTCAATTATTCTCGTTTCATTTTCAAACTTGTCCTCTACCCTAAATACATTCCCTTTCAACAATATACTGCTTTCTTGCTGCTTACCAAGTACAAGAACCTTATTCACAGGCTGCTTATAAACCAAATGTGTAATTTATTCCATGGTTCACATTTTCTTCACATTCACAAATTCTACTAAGCTAGCTTATTTCTCATAAAATACTACTGACTTTCAGTTAGTAAATTAACTGACAGAAGCAAGAATGTTCTCTCCTCTGGTTATTTGAACTTCTGAAATTTCATAAAATGAATTTATTGCACATCAGATAAACCAGAGAAGGCATTGGTGAAATAATTTAATTCAGAAAGTATTTTTGACCACTTTTATTTTGCTTTGGCTGACACTTTGCCAGGTGTTGTGAAACAAATAAAATTAATTTATGAACTGTTTTTTCCTTAAGGTACTTATAGTTTTGTTGGAGTGATAAGAAAAACACAGTAAAAAATTAGAAAACATGGAAAAATAATGTTAGTATCTATCTGAATGTGCCTGTTTGAAATGCTTTCATATGTAATAGGAAGGGATGTGACTGCCTCAAAATATGGCCATTTTTCATGGAGGAGATGAGACCACACTTTACCAGGCAGAGAGAAGGGTTTAGTTTTTCCTAGATAGAGGATGCCTGATAGAGAATGCCATATGAGAAGAGGAATTAGAGATAGGATCAAAAGTGGATTTTTCAAGGAAATAGGAGACTGGTCCAGTAGGAGTGGGGAGGTGAGTTATGTTGGGAGTAATGGGAGATAGGGCTGGAGGGTTAAAGGAGACCAATTAAGGAAGCCCTTTGATACCAGAGAAAACATTTAAATTCCTCCTTGAAATTCTTTAATCCCTGGCATCTTTTCCTCTAAGAAGCCCTATCTAAGCCTTCTGGGGTGGACTTGGTGTCCCCATCTCTGCTCCCCTAGCACCTCGTAGGCACTCTGTCACTGCAGTTTCTACTTTGTTTTGTAATGATCTGTTTACGTGTCTGTCTGCCCACTAGGAAGTGAGCTCCACAATGACAAGGCCATGCCTTAGTCATATTTATATCTCTAGCCCCT